TGAGAAAATGTACTCTAATAAACAAGTAAATAGATTAGGTGAGAACGGGTCCCCCTGTCTCACCCCTATCTCGATTTTAAATGGGTGTCCTGGTCTCTCCACTCTTATTGTTGCTGTAGTTTGACTATAAATTTCTTTCAGTATTCTTATATATTGGTTATGTATTCCATGAGATTTCAACGCCAACCAAAGTGAGTCATGGTAGAGTCGAAAGCTTTTGAATAATCAATAAATGCTAAAGAGTTTTGTTATATTCTTCATATCTTTCCATTATCTGAGTTAAAACAAAGATGTGATCCATTGTAGAGAATTTGGGACGAAAACCAGCTTGTTCTCTCGGTTGCATGTAGTCTAATTTAGGTTTGATTCTGTTAAGTAATATACTTGTGAAAACTTTAAAAATTGTATGCAATAGGGATATAGGTCTATAGTTGTTGATATTTAATCGATCATCTTTCTTGTACAATAATATGATAGTAGAGTTTGCCCAATCTTCTGGTATTTGACTGCGGTTGAGTATTTCGTAGAAAATGTTTGTTAATATCGGTATGATGGGTTCTTTTATCGCTTTTAGAACATCATTTGAAATACTATCTTCTCCTGAACTTTTTGCACTTTTAAGTTTTTTTATGGCAAGACTTATCTCGCACGGTACTAGTGGCGGAATACGATCGTTTATGTCCACAATACAACTATTATTTATTAATTCATCCGTTATGTTATTGTTCACGTTATGACTTTTGTATAAGTTTTTATAAAAATCAGTAGCTATTTTTAAAAGGTGTTCTCTATTTGTAGTTTTTCCATTATCATTTGCTTTTAGTGAGGAAATCCACTTTTTGGATAAAGTGAGTCGTTTCTGTGCATTTTTTGTAGAGCCTTTATGTAATAACTCTTCTTCTAATACTTTTAAGTGGTATTCTAATTTTTTTATTAATAATATTTTTTGAGGTAGAGTTTGGACAGTATATTTTTTTCTTCTTTAGTCTTTTTTTCTTTATTTTTAAGTTTCGTTCTTTCTTTAATAAGTTCTTTTATATCTGAACAAAATTGGAATTTTTCTTTACGTATTTTTGGCAACTTTTTTATACATTCTTCTATTATATTAGTCAGGTTTCTGTAGTTTTCTTGCAAGTTTTCTTTCCCTTTAGTATTAGTTATAACTCTGTAAACATCCCTTTGAGGAATTCATTTTCACTTGGTGTTAACTGTCTTTTTGGAGCACAAAATTTTTTCCTGTTCTTTTTTACTTTAGTTTTAATGTTGACGCATCCACGTACAAGTCTATGGTCTGATGGATAGGTTGTATTTATTATTTCTAGGTTTGTCATTTCTCTTATATCTTTTGTAACTTTTGTAAGAATAAAGTCAATTTCGTTACGAGTTCTACCATTGGGTGACACCCAAGTCCATCTATTCTTTAATTTTTTCTTGAAATATGTACTACTTATTTTAAATTGATTCTCTAGCTGAAAACCCCCCATACACTTTTGACTTCTTGTCCAATATGCATTAAAATCACCCATTATCATTGTAGTGTGATGAATTAGTGCTTTAGTATCTCTGTAAAGAGATTTCCTATATAAAAAGAAAACTTCATATCTAACCACTTATTAGATATACTTTAAGTATAGTTAAATATTTTTTCTCCATTTTCTTTTAATAACAAATCCGACTCTATTTATACCACTCTTTACTCCTGTGTGAATAAGTATATATTGTTCATATTCTAAAATTTTAGCCCCTTCTTTATTACTTCAGCTAAGCCTACAATGTCCCATTTTATATATCTAAGGGCGTGGTCTAGTTCTTCTTGGCGACCGTCTCCGACTAGAGACCTTACATTAAATGTGGCGATATGTATTTTAATATTGTTTTCGCTTTCTATTTTGACTTGCAGGGTTTTGGTCTACTGCTCCCACGGTGACCATCCGTATTGGGAGAGTGATTCTGAGTAGTTCATAGATCTTAGTTTAACTTGGAAATAGCAACAGCGACCTCCTCATCGATTGGAGTTTGGTGAACATACGCTTGGCTGTCATCTGCATACGTGAATATGTGAATATAAGTGAATTTTCGAGTAAGTTATTGCTTTAGTAACATTGGCCGTGTATATTGCGAATATTGTGGCACGAAGTATTGAACCCTAGATAACACCTTTATTAAGTGGGAGCGTGTTGGAGACACGTGTTGGTAGTCCTTGGCTGTCCAAACATTGCACTTTTTGGTAGCGATTACGAAAATAAGATTGAAACCAGGTGCAGGCCAAATCTGTAAAACCATTGTATTTTAATTTTGCCAATAGGACATATATATATCAACACAATCGCAAACGCAGCTGAAGTCTGGCAAGACCATAATTGGTCCTTTAACCTCATTGGACGCAGCAAGAATATCATGAGTAATATTTATGAGAAACGATACTGCACTGTGATTTTTTCGGAAACCAGATTGAATCACAGGTAGTACTTTATTACGTTCCGGACTTGGTGAAATTTAAGAATGGACATCTTTCAACTACTTTAGGAAGTGCAAGAAGAATGCTTATTGATCTTATACTAGAAAGATTATCCAGGGTTGATTTTTTAGGAATAGGAGTGACGATGGCACATTTCTAAGATTCTGGAAATACTCCTTCCAATATAGATTTATTGACTATCGCCACTATCGTTGATAAAGAATATGAAAGCGTGAGTTTCACATGGAGATGTCATCAGTTCCAGTCGCATTAGTAGCTGTAGTACAAATCGAAATTCCATTTCAGAGTGTTGATGTGATTCGATTTATTGAATAACAGTTTTATCGGGAGGTGCACATGATATCCTGTTTACATACATAAACACTCACGCCTGTCACCCAGAGGAGTAGGCAGAGACTACAGACTTCCATTTGGCACGATCCTGACACACCTCTCTCGCCTCCTCCACATCCATACACCTACGCATACATTCTCGTCGGTTAAGGGTACTCCTAATTTGGCCCGTTTTCAATAAATCGCCAATTTGGTCGATAAATTTTCGCCTAGGACGTCCCTTTCCGACTCTGCCATTCACTTCTGCAACATAAATTTTCTTTGTCAGTCTTTCCTCATTCATTCTTTCCACATGACCAAACCACCGAAGCATTCCTTTCTTAATCCTGGTCACAACATCATCTTGCAAACCACACTCATCTCTTATCACACAATTTCTCACCCTGTCATTCAGGTTCAGCCCTAACATACTCCTTAACGACCACATTTCTACTGCGTTACTTCAACTCTGGTGCTTCTTCTGCCACACATAACTTTCACTACCATACGTTAAAGTAGGGACCAACACAGCATTGTGAATTGCCATACGTGCCTTTTTTGACACATTTTGACTCTTCACAATAGAATGTAGGGCCCCATTTACTCTATTTCCTGCATTCACTCGTCGTTCTATATCCTTATCACATCTCCCATCCCTGCTAAATACGCAACCCAAATATACAAACTCATCTACTTGCTTGATCAACTCCCCTTCTATTCTTATTTCACATATCGTTTTACTTTCTTCTCTTTCAAAAACCATAACTTTCGTCTTACTTGCGTTCACTTTCATACCCCATTCTTTTAATGATCCGTTCATTAATGTAACCATCATTTGCAACTCGGCCGCCGACGACGCAAGAATAACTTGATCATCGGCGTACAAAAGGCATTTGACGATTAACTCACTCATTCTTAAACCGCAATCTTCAACTTTCAGATTTTGCAAACAACTGTCCATAAATAGGTTCAACCTATTTATGGACAGTTGTTTGTAACGGGGAAAGCCACACAGCCCTGTTTGACACATTTATGGGTGCCAAACCAGTCCGACCAGACCCCGTTGATCCTAACACAAGCACTAGAGTCCCTATAAAGAGACTCCAATGCCTGTATTGAGCCAGCGTTCAAACCAAATGAGTTCAGTGTTTGCCAAAGCACATCCCTATCCACTCTGTCATAGGCCTTTTCCAAGTCTATGAACGCACAAAAAACCTTATGGTGTTTGGCCAAAAACTTCTCCGCGATCATGCGCATGGAAAAGACTTGATCTGTACATCCCATTCCCTTACTAAATCCCGCTTGCACATCCCAAATTTTTCCATCAGTTTCATGACCTTTTCAATCTTTTCCCACAATGCTAAGAAGGCTGATACCGCGGTAGTTTTTACAGTCCCGATACGACCCCTTTCCTTTATATACTGGGACTATCACGGCTTTTCACCAGTCTACCGTATCGCGCTTCAGTTCCCAGCATAAATTAAACAAGGTGTGCAGAAGGCCTGCCATCACTTTCTTTGCTTCAACTTCCATACGTATCTCATCATCCCACCATAATGTACTATTTTTCCTTTCATTCTTTGTCTTACTAACACCATATACTTCGGTAGCTGCATCCACTAAACCTTTCTTAACATTTTGCCATTGTCCAAGTCTAACTCATTCATACATAATTCATCTAAACCACTTATATTTTCTTTCAGTCTACATTTGAACATGTTTTTCTCACCTTCCTCTTGTAACCTTTCTGTTCTAATATCCTGTCTTATCAACTTATCCTGTTCATAAAGTGATTAATGTGAATCAGGGTCAAGAAGATGGTCTGGTATAGAAAGGTTTTTATTATTCGTTTTATGTGACCCCACATCAGAGAAGGATTTGCCTTATTACTGTTGACAAGCCTAGTAAAATATGCCTACTTTTCTAAAGTAACTGTTGGGTTATAATAGTTGCGCAGATCGCGGTAAAACTGCATACTACTTGTCACGAGTTGACTTCATTTCTCCGAGAGTATCAGTCATCCATGGGGCAGGGGGTAATTTAAAAATGCGTTTACGAACAGGGGCGAATATATCCATCAAGTCAATGACGAGATTCTTAAAGGTATTTACCATATGATCAATATTATCTTGTGCTAGTAGCAGCTCCTACGGCGTGTATTTAGCAGCATTGTTTATAACTAGTTTTATATTTATAAAGGTATTCTCACGTCAGTATAATACACGGCGTATCTGGTAGGTGGCGCCGTGGAGGCGAGACCATTTTGAGTTTGTGTCGGTGGCGACCACCAAACACGTATACTGTGGGGACCTAGAGCTTCGACTCGTACATCTTGAGGTGGTCCATACGTAAGCTCCTCCTCTGCCGTCGTAGCTTCTATTACCTGGACAAAAAGTATAAGACGTCACTATGTAACGTCATATAGGTATTTAAATTGAGGAGTACTCATACCTACACAAGTATGTATTATACTGTTATCAAAAATATTAACTGGTGAATGAATGACAGTTATTTGTGTTTCATTGATTCATTGTAGCCGATCAAAAGTCGATTTTTTTACAGACGATACAAGAAAGAACTCTATAATTTGAAATTTCAACATTATATGAATTCCTTCAACTCTCGTGTTTACATCAATCTGCGTCTTTCCTTAGGGCTACACGATTATTAAGTAATAAGCTAACAAATTCATACATAATTATAAAGTAATAAAATTAAAGTTCATACATGGTACAGCCACGATATAGTTATATTGTGTTTGTAGAATGTACGGTTTGGCTCGACCGGAAAAGGTCCACGCTGTTAGAAAATACCAGCATAGTAAAGCAGATTGCAGCACTATGCTGCTGTATTTCGTATGGTGAGTGTAGCGATCCGGACACCTTTTTCAGTGGAAACGTGGCATTTTATCTTAGCCCTCAGACTCCACGACGCATCTGCATTTTAATTCTTAATCGAGGTTAAATGTAGATGTCTATAAGCCACACATCAACTTACCATCAGGTGGACTATGAGTTCGTTCGTCAGCCTTACTCTATAAAAAAAAAGATTTCGTTAGACCCTCATGCCTAAACAAATCATTGATTTTATCTAATTATAATATAATACTAGGTAATGAATGTATGGATCAATGAAAAATAAATATCATAATTCGAGTATTTTAATTAGGATATGCCTATATGCATCAGTCATTATGGATCCACGCAAACTGTTCAGCACTGAACATTTCAAAGCAGCAGCACGGTGACTGCGTTACCAAAACTCACGCACACTAACAGTTGTTGCTGAGTAATCTCAGCGTATGATATAAACTTGTAATTGTAGTAAATTGTATACATTACAACGTATTGTGAATAAAATTCTCTTTGAATGCTAGACGACAACTTATATCACCGAAAATTCTGGTAAGGTATCTCCCTCTCACTTCGGCCAAAACACCTTTAACCGTCAGAGCCTCTGATCAGTCTTGTGAGTCTGCTTGATAAGCAGTGAGAGAACCCGATCACCCAACACTGGCATTCTGCCTCTGTCCCTCTGCTACCTTAGGTCTCATGGTGCAGACATCCCGCACTTATCTAATTTATTTATGTATATTTATATAGTAGTTCTAAGTTATTATGGACAGCTACGAAATGATAGGTATAGGGAACTGTATAAAGGTCTGTAGAGTCTTTAACTCCTGCCATATTCATGTGCACAAGTAGTTTGATGTGGGTGTCAAACGAGCACACAGTCCATCTGATGGTAAGTGGATGCTATGACCCATATAGTTAAACTATTGAAGAGAAACTGGGTTAATACTTAAACAAAGACCTACCCAAATGTACACGACCAAATGTGTCAGCCAGAGAGTAAGATAGTTTAAAACTTATTGTCTTTAAAATAGGTAAGCCATCATTTTAATCTATTACGCAGATCTTAGATAATTAATTTTCAACATCTTTAATCTAATGGAAAGCAACGCCTGGTTCTATTAAAAGAGTTTAATCATACCTCAGTAGCCGGCGAGTGCGAATGCTGCGTGAATGCGATCACCGAGAACTGGTAGGTGGTGTTGGGCTGCAGGGAGGCGACGTTCATCTCATGCCGCTGAGGGTTGCCGCGGGCGATGCGCTCACTGCAACCGATAATAAATACGTAACCTACTCATAGTTAAGATTTAGTTATAATTACAGAAATATAACACTTTGTATAAAATTAATTTTATAGTATTTACATTGAGCTCAGATAGCGTAATTTATATCTTCTCTCAGTTATGATTTTCTTGTGGCTACAGGAATTATGAGACGTTGTACAAAACCAATTTCATGGCATTAACATTGCGCTGAAGATATAGTAATTTATATCTACTCTCAGTTATGATTTACTTATGGCTACAGGAATATGAGACGTTGTATAAAACCAATTTCATGGCATTAACATTGAGCTGAAGATATAGTAACTTATATCTACTCTCAGTTATGGTTTATTTATGACTACAGGAATATTAGACGTTGTATAAAACTACTTTCATGAAAATATCATTAAGCTGAAGATAGAGTAATTTATATATACTCTCAGTTACGGTTTCTTAATGATTACTGGAATATAATACGTTGCATAAAACTAATTTTATGGGATTTACATCGAGCTAAAGGGTAGCGTAATTTATATCTACTCTCAGTTATGATTCTTTTATGATTACGAAAATATTTTACGTTGTTTGCAACAAATTTTATGGGAGTTACATTAAGCTGAGGGTAGCCCGGGGACTAAAAATATGCCATCGGAAGTAACTTTGAAAAGGCCTATATACTGCACCATTATATGTGTAGAGGTGATATAAGAATATTCACTACTCGACATCATTCCGTGAGTGCCGTAGGACGCGACAGAAAGAAATAAAACAGGAAATGGGTAGAGCATTCTTCTTAATAACTCAAATTAATACAAAAAACTGCGATGTAAACCCGGCTGCAAAGCGTGCAAACTATGACAAACATCTCACCTATTAGGTAATCTGTGGGGAAAGCTTATGTTTAGCAGTGGACTTGAATAGGCCGTAATGATGTGGATGATGATGATGATGACCATAGAGAATATAACCACTAGAGAGCGTATAGGCAGATTTCTTCTAAACACACGACTCACTACTGCGGGCCGGGGGGCGAGGAAGAACGCGTGGCTGCGAATGGTCAAGTTGCGTTGTTATGGCTATCTTTAGGGTTGCTCTTCTTAATAAAGGAAAATATTCATTATCGATAAAATGGATTTTATTATTATGAAAAATACTCAATTAAAATCATAGAAATAATATTTAATCAAAATCAATCAGTTACAACGAAAATATGTATTTATTTTATTATTATTGATTTTTGAAATGAATTAATTTGTTATATTTATTTCGAATTAAAGTTTAAGGGTCCTGATTGTTCTTTGTAAAAAAATATAAACAAGCGTCTACATATTTGTAAATTATGCATCTTGCTAATTCAATTAAATGAATTGTTGATTCTATTTCAAATTGATGAAAATGAATATACGGGAATCAATAATACCTAATCAGAGATTTTAAAACCGTTCTCATAAAATAATTAGTATTATATTTTGGAGACAGCACTTTTGAACCACTCTCATTGATCGCCCTCTTATTAAAAATTTTACAACAACGACAAATATCTATTATTGTAATAGATCCGTACAATAACTTGTCTTTAGTGTCCTTTTGCAATTGTAAGCCGTTCTGATTTGGTACACCAATCTAACTAATTTAACAATTACAATACTCTTTATTGTACACCAACAAAATATAAAAATAACAAATAATGAACAAACAATGAGGGAAAAACAAAAGGCGGTCTTATTGCTACATAGCAATCTCTTCCAGACAACCGAGAATAGGAAATTAATAAAAATAAAAATAAGATTAACGGCTAGGGTGCACTAAATTAGACAAAAAAATACATATTATATACTATAAAGTGACAACATACTTAATTAAGGTATATTAGTGACCATAACTAAGAGGAGGAAGAGAGAGGATTTAAAGAGACAAGTAGTGTTCCTTAATTTGTATCTTGAACACATTTAAAGATTGAGCACTTTTAATGGACTGGGGTAAGGAGTTCCAGAGTCTTACTCCAAGAACAGCAAAAGATTTATCATAAAATGTCGAGGAGTGTACAGTAATATATTAACAGTAATTTAACTAGGTAACTATAAACTTTAACTAGGAAAAAATACCGACAAACTGATAACCTCCTCTTTTTTCTGAAGACGGTTAAAAGTAGATAAGTATTTTTTCACAGTGAGTGAATTGAATAATCTTTTTATTAATTTTAATTTTATTATTTTCTATATCGACTTTCAGCTATTAAAGGTAACAGTAAGTACTAATGTTTACGATAAACGTACAAAGGGAAAGAAAGAGATAGAAGCATTAGAATTGTCTAATAATAGTAGAACGAGACTTTTCCAAAAGACATCAACGCGCGACTCAACCATTATATACAATTATAAAAACCGTCGTTATTTACCCGGCCACCGTTTTAGATAGACCCCTGCGGTGGCTCATAATCTGAATTAATCAACAATAATTTTTATATTTTAAAAAATATATAAGTAAACTTAGCAATGAAAAGTTACTCCATTCTTTTTGGAAATCTGTCCTGGAATGTTTCCTACACCACTTCACCGCGCATGAAGGCATTTTGATGCATTATAATTGTATAAAAGTTATAAAAATTTGCATTAATTTAGCGTACACACAGGTCTAACACTTGGACAATACTAAAATGTTAATAGTACCATAGGCGATGCATAGGCGACAAAATACTAATAGTTTTCGAGCGTCGGGGCATTGGGTGCGTTTGGCAGAAAAAAGCGCTAGCAAGCGCTTGTAAGCAAAATGGCGATCGTAAACGGTAATCGCTGTCAAATCGTAAGTAGCTATTTTCCTCTAGGACACGATGTTAGTTTCAACCGGGGGAACCTAACCTAATTTAAATACATGTTTGTGAAGTATTCATATTAAAAACTTACCAATCATGAATTTTTAATAACATGTATATGTCTATTCATGTCATTATATTACTTAAAACTAATATTGCAAAAAAACATATAAACTCTACTTCAAAACAAACAAATTAAATAAGCAAAATGGCGGATTGTGTCAGCGCTACTGAAGTAGCAATCGTGTCCTGGCCGAAAACTATTTTAGCGCTAGTAAGCGCTTGCTAGCGCTTTTTTCTGCCAAACACACCCATTGTATGCGCAGTCAAGTGGTTATATAGTCTTTGATGATGACATATGTCAGTGAATTGTGAAAGGCTGATAAAGTATATAAAGAAGAGTTTTAATTACTATTTGCAGAGTTTGGATAAAAAACTCACCGCTCGCTTCCCTTTACTTTGTAGACAACCGCATAGCCAGTTATATCTTCAGCCTTATGCTCCGGTTCCTCCCAGCTGAGTGTCACAAATCGGTGCTTCACGATAACCGCCTTTAAGCCCTTTGGCGCAGAGACGACACTTGCGTTCCCTTGCCCAAGTTCATCCAGATCCAAGCCTTCGGCAGCGTGAAACGAATTATCACCATCAGAGTCGTACGCATCGTCATATTCCACATCCGGAATCGATGTGTAGGCCGACGAAGTCTCGCCTAGGAAATCTATGTCTTCGGGTGTTGGATCTAAGGTTGGATCTTGACCGCCGGAGGAAACAAGGTTATTGAAGATGTCGTGAGTGGTGTTGGAAAGAGGTACTTTTGGTGGGGGTAACTTAGTTTTTTGGGATGTTTGAGACTTGTTGCTATCTGTAAAGTTAGTAAAAAGGAAAAACAAAAGCTAAATAAATATACTAAGAAAGAAAAGGACAAAAAAATAAAATAAAGGACAATAAAATGAAACAAAAAGAAACAACTTAATTAAAAAATAATAATAAATCGTAATAACATTATAATTAAGCTCGAAGTAAGTCAATGGGTGTAGGTGGTTTAGGACTGTGTTCTGTGATTGTTTTCGGAAAAGGTTTAAGTTTAGAAGCAGATCTGAGACGGGCTCTATGATATTAATTGAAGCAAAAGTTTAGTTTAATCACATCTTACATTAAGCAAATACTAAATTCAATAGAACTAATTGTACCGATGTCATTTTAATTTTATCTTATTTTGAAATCTTTAAGTCTCAAAGGCATAAATTATTACTGTTAATATTTTTTTTTAATGTTGACTCCATTATTCACTCTTTCCGTTTGTCATCCTTAACTATGAAAAAAGTGCTCTGATATTTTATTTTGTTATATTACATTATTAAATACCCGAATTTTTTCCGTGAAATACTTATCTCGTAGATTAATTGGTGCCGTAACCGATAAATTTATGTACGGGATAAGTACATATAATTTACGAAAATACCCTATGTATATATAACAATGTATTTTTAACATTATAACAACTATCCAAGTTTTCTAACTGTACAGGTGGTACAGTTTGGAAGTCAGTCGTTAAGTAGTTAGTTAGCTTTAAACCAAAGAACATCTCATGGATTGCAATGAATGGGAATGACAAATCACAACGTTAAGTGACTTAATGTTTATTTCTTTTAGTTTTCTATTAGCGATAACGATTTTAGAAAGTCAACTTGGCTAACTTAGCTGAAGAAAACAGGGAATACTTACCGTCCCCTGGCGCAAGAACTATGAGTCGCAGTGCAGCCACAGCGCTACCAGCGATGGAGTTGGCCGCACATTGGAACATGCCCGCGTCCACTCGCAGCACGCCTTGGATTCGAAGAGACGTTCTAGATGGGAAGATCAACATTCAATAATTGTCTTACGTAGTAGAACCACGTTATATTATGGTTGGTTGTGGCACAAATGGGCTGGCTCAATTGGGGTAGGATCACGCTCTTACAGAATACCAGCGTAAAACAGCAATTAATGCTGCTGTGTTTCGTAGAGTACCTAAGTGTAGAGAACCGAAGACCCCTTTTACTGAAAACGAGGTGTTTCATTTCATAAATTTAAATCAGTTGGCACTTGAATCCATAACTTTTCCGGCGTGTTCATACTTGTATTTTTGCATTCAGGCACAACACAACAATGATATACATTACTAACTAATAACTCATTATTAAAAATAAAAAAGTATCTTATTCCTTTTCAGAATCGGCAAAATTTTGGAAAAGTGACGTCACGATTTGAACAGCTTTTAAAACATAGATCGTAATTTTAAGGCACTATTCGGTTTTAAAAAAAATTATAAAAAAATTATTTTTAAAAAATCAGCCTTTGAAAATGGGTGTAATAAAAGAATTATTAAATTGTAACAAACGAACACACAGTCCATCTGAAGGTAAATGGATGCTGTGTCCCATAGATATCCACAATTATTCTGATTTTAATAATAAAACTACAAATGCTTTGTCACCCCTGAGGACTAAGATGGAATGCCTCGTTTCTAATAAAATGTGTCTACCGGTTCTCTACATTCATCATACGAAACACAACAGCGTGTGAGCGTGGTTCTTATAATATATAACTGTAGCGAGGCTCTACTACGTATCTAACTTTTCATTCATTGTTCAGAACGAATGTGCCTAAAGAAGTTTTATAGAAAAAGAGGTAGGTACCCGTCGAGCAGCGCGATGTCGCGGCTGTTGGGCGAGAGCGGGTCGCCGTCCTTGAGCCAGGCGACGGCGGGCGGCGGGCGGCCACGCGCCTCGCAGCGCAGCGTCACGTCGGCGCGCGCCCGCGCCTGCGCCAGCGCGCCGCCGCCCAGCGTCACGCGCGGCGCCGTCTGACATTCGTTCGTTCATTCGTTACAACTCAAACACTTTGTATGTATATTGTAAACTGATTATACAAGAAATACGATACTAATGCATTGCTCACTATACTCAACCAAATCTAAGAAATACCTTTTGACGTTTCGCATTTATCATTCCGCAATAATTTTATACAGGCGTACTTATACTACTTATACTATTTCAAATAATCTTGTACATAAATCCCAATAATTATGAAGTAATATTGTTTATGCTCAATGGTAGCTACAAATTGCAGGGCTCGCGTCTCGAGCGGGGTGAGGAAACGGTTAGCGTTGCGCGGGCTTGCTGGGCCGTACGCGCGCAGCAAGCGCACCTGCAACGGGTTTGATGTCGGGCGTTACATAATAGTTTGCGTCGAACGTCGCGAGTCTCTTACAGTGTTATCTTAATTTGTTTTCGTGATAACGAGGCACGAATAATATAATTATTGTTGTAACCGTTTTAAGCATTGTTTGTGACTGGTATACGGTTGCGGGCGGCCGGTGTTTTGATTAAAGGAACTTTTATGCAGTTAATTGCATCGACGAGTTAATTGTGCCCGCCATTTTGAGTTTACTATTGAATATTTGGGTCTAGTCTAGATCGCCTCTTCTTTTTGCCTTTACATAACACCTAATTTGAATTTGAAGTAAATTAAATGTACAATAAAGTGATAAACTAATATAGTGAAAAGAGAAGCAGACGTTTTCAATTGGTGAACGCCCCCCTGGGCGGATCCCACATTTGGAGAGGCAGCACCTTGGGAACTGCAGTCCAAGATCAGCGGGGCTGTCAGGTTATACATTGTACACATTACGACACACTACTTACATGCACATCACTTCCCACCTGACAGGTACCTCGTCGTCAACCCCACCTCCGCCAATCGGTAAGTTTTGTGTGTATCTAGCCGTATAATTTAAATATCCAGAGGCCATTGGGCTCCACCCTTGGTTGCTCATCGAGAGGACCACTCATGGGCCCTGTTCCCGTCGATCTTTGTTGGGCTAACTAAGGGCGTGTACAAATATATATTTCATTACAAGATGTATACATTTTTATCACTTATTTAAGTACGAATTTTTCAAAAAAAGCAAAATATAAAAAATACCAGAGTCTACTTTTTTGGCTGACGCTGTTTCAATGATACGTCGCTATATAGCTTCCGTAGTGATTGGATGATTAAAATTTATTCTTATACGATTAATCGACAAAAATAATCGAATATTTAAAAGTTTTAATATGTATAATCAGTGAATTTAAATTTTATTTTTAAAATTGCTTAAATTATATGAATCACGAATAAAACAATTTTTATTTTGTGAGCCCGCACCCACCTTGTACAACCGCGAGTCCAGGTCACTGCAGCAACACAAAGTAAGCCTACCAGCACTTGCAGCTGCGTGGAGTGGCCGGCGGAGTCCAGGCGGTTGTGCGCGCGGCACGTGTACACGCCGGCGTCGAACGCGCGCGCCGACTGCACGCGCATCGAGCCCACGCCCACCATGTAGACCCGCGAGTCCAGGTCACTGCAGCAATACAAAGTAAGCCTACCAGCACTTGCAGCTGCGTGGAGTGGTCGGCGGAGTCCAGGCGGTTGTGCGCGCGGCACGTGTATACGCCGGCGGCAAGCGCGCGCGCCGACTGCACGCGCAGCGAGCCCGCGCCCACCATGTAGATCCGCGAGTCCAGGTCACTGCAGCAATACAAAGTAAGCCTACCAGCACTTGCAGCTGCGTGGAATGGTCGGCGGAGTCCAGGCGGTTGTGCGCGCGGCACGTGTACACGCCGGCGTCCAGCGCGCGCGCCGACTGCACGCGCAGCGAGCCCGCGCCCACCATGTAGAACCGCGAGTCCAGGTCACTGCAGGAATACAAACACCATAATATACTGCATGACCTTTTTACCGCCTGGAAAAAATTGGATGAAACGTGTGAACGGAGTAAACGCGTATGGAACTGATATTTTACAAAAAATATAAACAAAAATTTTGAATTAAATAAATAAATTAATTAAAATCTATCGACATTCAAATCATACCCCTCTTTAGAACGGCAATAAAACAATAAATTTAGAAGACGTATTTGACCTTGTCACTTCGCAAGGTTACAGACTCAAAGGCAAAAGTAATAGTTCAAAAAATTTTTTAAAACGTTTTAGGGTCAATTCACACGTACCACAACCACACCACAGCCACAACCACACCACAACGACGCCATGTGGTCGGGCGTATATTTTGTATTGAAAATGAATATTACAATTTACACGTACCACATTTTGCCGTTGTTATCGACCACCTGTGTAATACGACCACATCGTAACCACATCGCAACCACATCGCGACGGCAACGCCGCCACCGGCGGCGGCACCGCGGCCACATCGCCACTGCATGACGTCATCAACAGCGCGCGCCTAGCTGGCGCCTGCGCTCCCCCTTTCATTCTGCGTTGTACTGAGTTGCCGCGTGGTTGTGCGAGAAATTAAAATGTCCGACTCCGAGACTTTTGACACGGATATGTTTATTGAGGAGATTCGCAATTTGCCATGCATTTGGGATCAAAGGACAGAGGAGTATTCCAATCGCATATTAAAAAACAAAGCATGGGAAAACCTTTGCATGAAGTTTTATGAAGATTTTGATAATAAGGAAACAAAAGAAAAAAACCAGTGTGGTAAGTTTATTAATTACTATTTATTAAACCGAGTATACCTAACAACACCATTCACGCTTTATTGTACTGCCACGATAATTCACCTTCAGGGCTCACAAAATAGTCGGCAAATTCATTTCTAACAGAATCTGCTAGAATCCCGTCATGACTTTGATCAAAGGAATGCATTCGTAACAAATTTGAAGTTATCGATAAAGTGTCATCGAATTTATAGCCATCTCGCTTGCGTACTATATTATGTAATACAACACATGCTTTCACTATGTCTGTTGCAAATTCAACTGACACGTTAATTGGCCTATGCAATATACGCCATTTGTTAGTCAAAATTCCAAAGGAACATTCCACATATCTTCGTGCTCGTGATAATCTATAGTTAAAAACACGTTTTTTCATTGTTAATTGCTTGCCGCTGTATGGTCGCAGCAAATGTTTGTGTAATCCAAAGGCTTCATCGCCAATGAATACCATAGGCAAGGGCCTACCTACAGGGGTAATTGCTTGTGGTCCAGGTAGATCTAAATCATTTCTTTCCATTGCATCATATAAACTGCAGTCCCTCCAAATAGTTGAATCGGAAGTTTTACCGTAGGCTCCTACATCAACATACACGAATAAATAATCGGCGTCACATACGGCCATTAAGACAATAGAAAAGAAATGTTTATAATTAAAGAATAAATGAACCACTGCGTGGTGGATGAATAATCTTAATATGTTTCCCATCTACAGCCCCTAAGCAGTTTGGAAAATTTGCTTTCTTTTTAAATTTGTTCGCAATATCAAGCCACATTGTTTTATTACATGTTGGTAAATGAATAGGCTGTAATTTATCCCAAATCAGGCGGCACACGTCGTGGACAATTTTGCTAGCAGTTGAAGTACCACATTTAAAAAAATCGGCGAGATCTTCAAACGAACACCCCGTTGCCAAATATCTATAACAAAAAAATTATATTAAAAACAAATAATAATGAAATGGAATTATACAGGCTGTTACAAAAGGTTGAAATAAATAACACTGGGGTCATTGTATTGTACTCATGAATATGAACAACTTTTACTATGGGGACACATACGAAATCGTAAAAAATCAGCTGTTTCATACATTTAGGTCATGTAGGTATATGTGTCCCCATAGTAAAAGTAGCTCGTGTTGAAGAGTACAACGACCCCTTAAAGTATTAGGTATTTCAACCTTTTTTAACACCATTCAATAGGCTGATGACATTTTCGGAAATGATCGATCTTACATTATACTGGACTAATATAAAATAAATCCAGTTAATTTTAATATGGTAAAATTTAAAAAAAAATGTAAAATATTAAATACTACTTATTTATATATTACATAACGTGTAGTCCACGCGGGTAGAAAGCTAGTACATTAAATAATTATATTACGCTTTCAAAAAGCGCTTATGCCACCGGTATAAGAAAAACTAATCATTTATCAAACCATAATTATAAAGATGCTTGGCTGTCATAAATTTAAGAATAACTTGAAACTATTAACATGGATATTTAAATATACAGAAATTATCTTCAATACTGAGTTCATTATATGATCTGATCGCTGTAATTTCGATATTGTAAAATATTATTATTACTACTTTTACGGATTTTATCGCGTTTATTTTTTCTTACTTTTTATTTTTATTTTTAATTCCCGACGTTTCGGGCGCTTTCCAGCACCCATGGTCACGGGGGACTGACATGACTGACGTCCCGATGTCATTGTTAAACCCGGAGTACCTTCAGCTTTTTTAATTATTGTTTATGGTCCGATCTATGCAAAATATAATTAAACAATAATTAAATAAGCTAAAAAAAAAGCTGAAGGTACTCCGGGTTTAACAATGACATCGGGACGTCAGTCATCTCAGTCCCCCGTGACCATGGGTGCTGGAAAGCGCCCGAAACGTCGGGAATTAAAAATAAAAATAAAAAGTAAGAAAAAATAAACGCGATAAAATCCGTAAAAGTAGTTTTAATCATGTGCAATGTTCGCGTAAATATAAGAAATCATTATATTATTATTATTTTATATGTTATTTTCAAATTTAACTACCAACTTACTTTTCTACAAATTTCAATTTAACAATTAATTTTTCAGCTGCCAACTTACAAAGAAAATGGAAAAGCTTAAGAGACTCTTTCAACAGAGACCTTAAAAAACAAAATTCACAGAGAAGTGGTTCAGCAGGTAGTTCAAAGAGATACTACTACTTTAGTCAATTATTATTTTTAAAGCCACTGTCTGAAAATCTAAATACAACATCGTCTCTACCAGTACAAACAAAGACGATGACATCGAACAAATCGATAATGAAGACGATAATACTACTGAAACGAGTGACTCTGAAGTTTGGAAGAGACCAAAAAATATCCAAAGAAAAAAAGATGATGCAGAATATGGGTTAATAAAAAAAATTACAAGTCATTTGAGCGATCAAGTAACTGCACATACTCGTACACAGGAACCTGACAAGTCCTGTGACAGTGATATGCATTTTTTGCTATCTTTATACGATAGATTTAAGACCATTCGCGATGATTGGAAACTGAATGCTCAGATAGAAATATTGAATGTAATTAAAAAATATCACACACCTACAACTACACGTAATGATAATTACAGTGAATATGGACAGGGGTATACGACACCAGCGTACCAACCGTACGAGCGACCATCAACGTCTAGGTATCGGCCGGATATGGAAACAGGCTCTCCGCAGCTTCACAATTTGCGTACTGCATCCACACCAAGAGATATTTCAGTACCAGAATCTCCACTCAGCGTCTCTTCTCAGGCTTCAAACTATAATGATCCGATTATAACGGATATTTTCGGAGATTAACTGATTCATTACCTACTCTGTTGATTTTTGAATGACAAAATAAATAAAAATATATAAGTACGCTCCTTGTTTTCGCCTTCCGATCCTCCCTACCACAGTTGCAAATTAACTCATTGGCAATAATAAAGGCCTGAGCAGACCGGATGCGTGGCGTGTGCGTAACGTACAGTCAGCGACACATCGACCTACGAAAATCTGTGAAAAAACCACAACTGATGTTGATCTCTATGCGTTTGAAATTAGGTTGAAATTCAGTTGCAGAAATTTGACAGATAAGGGTAGGTCGATATGGCGCTGACTGTACATGCATACTGTTGTAATAATAGGAAACTATATGAAACGTGCCCACAATCATAATCTTACTTTTTATTGTTAATGAATTAAGAGGCCGTACCTGGTTTTGCTCGCAACACTAGCGACACTTTCATTAAAATAATATATTTTTATTTAAGGCATAGATAAAAAATCTGTCTGAGCCACTTTTTAGCTAAATTCTTTTTTTGCTAAATTTGCAAATTGGCTGAGACAGATTTTTTATCTATGCCTTAAATAAAAAGATATAATTTTTTTAATGAAAGTGTCGCTAGTGGCGCGAGCAAAACCAGGTAGGTACGGCCTCTTAATTTGCACCTGTATTTTATATTTTATAAATTAGTTTCATCTGCCCGGTGAGTCTGTCCCGGTAGATGGAACTAATTATATTTTCTAAGTACTTAAAAATAATTAACTATAAAAAAAATTACTCACCTCAATGTCATTGCCAGACGTTCAACAGATGGTATGCTTTTTCTCATGACCGTGTCTTTTTTGCAACTCACTATTCAGTTCATTTAACAAGTAGTCAAATGTATTCTTGTTCATTCTAAATTTTTTATAAAATTTCTTCTTGAACCTTCGAAGTTTAGGATAATCAGTACGAAATTGGCTTTGACTTTTGTTTTCCAATAAAGGATGTACCCAATAAATTCTATTTCGACGAATACGATGATGTCGTCGTCTTCTTCTTATTAATAAAAGCCATAACAAGGATAGCAACAACAATCTTTCCTCCATGACTACGTTCAGTCAAGCTGTGTTTCCTCTACGAAAGCCGGAGTATAACTGCACATGACCACGTGGTTACCACATCGCAACGACAGCGACAACGCAACCACATCGACATTTTGTCGGTACCACAACGCAACTGCAAAAAGCCGCTGCGACACTATTCACACGTAACCACAGCTTGACCACATTTTGTCGCTGCGACGTGGTGTGGTTGTGGTACGTGTGAATTGACCCTAATAGTAAATTTTTGTTTTTATTTTTTGTAAAATATCAGTGCCATAGGCTTCTACTCCGTTCACATATTACAACTTATTTTTTTGCAGACGGTAAAAAAGGTCATCCCCTGTATATTTAAACATAAATTATATTTCTTGTTTTTTCTAACGTTCGTTTATTTTTGGCACCTATCACATTATTTTTACACATCCCGGGTTGACTGGGAGAGAATGCCAAAAGATATTAAGTTCGCCCTTTGCAATCCTTTTAGTTAAGGTGTACAATTAAGAATAAATACAACATGACGAGCTCTGCGGTCTTAATAAATTGCGCACTTAGTTACGGTCGATTCTCCGTAACTCCTTTAGTAAACTCTGCCTCGTTGGTCTAGTGGTAGCAAATGCGGTTACTGATCATAGGACTCGCTCCTAAATGAGTTATTCATTACTTGCGTTTTCTGTCAAGAAATTTTCATTAGCAGTCCGGATTCAGAAAGTTGTTTGTAGTGTTTAACTTCCGTGCCGCGGATATCACGGAATCCGTTGGTCCTGCGACAGATAAATATCTGATCGTGTCGGTTTGCCGTCCGATCAGATAACGTGAGTGAGGAAATAGAGAGTACACCTGTGCTTGCGCATACACTCGAGTACTATAATCCTGTCATGTGCAGATGGCTAGTCTGCGATGAGAATGGCTGCCGTGGCCGGAACTCGATCAAAGGATATTATTAGTCAAGTACGAGTGGGCGAGAAGATTAGTACTTTGCTTTGTAAGCCGTGAACGTTAGTTTTCGCCAATCTAACACCGATTTTGTTTAATGTGACTAAGAAAACGCTGTTATTATTCACGTGCACACTTTGTCATCGTAATTTGAAGTTCATTTTAGATAAGTTACATGTAACTTTACTTCGTATGTGCCTAAAAACAGTAACTATCGTAAATTTTATGGCATTTTGTGCCAGCTACCACCGCAATCTACAACTAAGACACAGTTTTTGATCGGAATTGCCAGTCATGTAGTATACTGTCACGAGCTTGAATTTCATGAGAATAAAAACTGCCGATTGAATTACCAAAATTGACACTTTAATTACCGAACAATAAAACTTTAATTATGAATAAAACACAATTGCACTATTGATGACTTTAGTTTTTGCAGTTATATCGCTTCGAAGTATCGGCTTGTATCATCAATTCAATACTGACCCAGTCGCGGTCGTTACTGGCCATAGGTATATAGGAGGGCCTTTTCCACTAAAATATCTAGAATGTTCGAGCACATACCGGTCCCGACCGACTAGGTGTAGAATGTTCAAGTATGGAATTCTCTAGAAAGCTCTCCTAGTTCCGCTACTCGATACCAGATAGCGCTAGTGGAATTAATTGTGGCGCGCAACAATATATAGAAGTCTTTGATCTTTACTGACTTACTTAATAACTTAATAACGAGTCTCACAGTCAGTCCAAAACAACATTTAACAACTACTTAGGACAGAAGAGCGTGAGGTAGCAAGGGAAATGGGCTTAGATGAACTATGAGTTCGGGTAAAAAATGTAATAAATCAAATCATTGTGCTAATTTTTTAATGATGCATGTAAAAATTTCAATATTACTGAATATTCTTATACCGCTATATACGGTTATGTATTGTCAAAATGTACACGGTGATATACAAAGTCACATTCCAGCCAAGTAACCACAATCTGCACATGTTAGCTAATATAGACACCTGCAGTCAAAACCAAACAATGTTTGTACATGTAACATTTTTTTATAGAATAAGGGTGACAAACGAGCACACAGTACACCTGATGGTAAGTGGATGCTGTTGCCCGTAGACATCTACACGTATCCTCGATTAAGAATTAAAATGCAGTTGAGTTGCCAGCCTTGAGGAACAAGACGGAATGCCTCATTTCCAGTAAAAAGGCTCTACTGTTCTCTACACTCACCATACGAAGCACAGCAGAATTGAGCTGCTATTTTACGCTGGTATTCTGTGAGAGCGTGGTCCTTCCCCGGTCGAGCCGACCCATTCGTGCTACATGATTAGCTGCAGCTATGTAATGGATATAGCACGAATTTGCTTCGAACGACGATCATTAGAGCCACAAGCAAGTGAGTAACGATCCAAGAGCAAGTCTTATCCGACACTATTTCAATGATATCCCCGACGTCAGTCTGAGTGGGATTAGAATGGCTCTCCAGCACCTTAAAAACGGCAAGTCCCCGGGCGAAGATGGGATTACAGTTACAATTAATGAAACTGAATCATTTTTGAAAATATTCATCACTGGTGATGAAAAGTGGATCACCTACGACAAGAAAGTGCGAAAAAGAGCATGGTCAAAGTGTACTCAATCTCCACAGGCTGTAGCAAAACCCGGATTAACACGCAATAAGGTGATGTTATGTGTATGGTGAGATTGGAGGGGCATCTTTTAATATGAGTTTTTACAGCCGGGCAAAACCACCGATTCGGATCTCTACTGCCAACATCTAATGAAACTCAAGCAAGGAATTGATGAAAAAACGGCCGAAATTGATCAACAGAAAGGAAGTGGTCTTTCATCATGATAACAAACACATTTTTGGCCACTCAGTAAATTGAGAGTGTTGGCGACGCGCCTATAAAAATGTTTCAGTTTATTAAATCAACCGATGACGTTGCTATGAAAAAAGGGGCAGTCACGAGCAACGACGCTCTGATAAGAGAATGCTTAGTTAAATCTTTAAGAAATGTCGAATTAATGATATGAAGGTCTTGGGTTCGACTCCCAGGCCGGACTAGTTTGTTTGTTTTCCTAAGTAATATCGCTTAATAAATTCGTAAGGAATTTAAGATATAAATTATGTTACCGGATTTGTTTCCCGGTTGAAATCATCTTTCAAATGATGTAAATTCATAAGAATATTAAAGTGAAGTTAAAGATCGGATTTGTTCCCCGGTCGAGATAATCACTCTGTGCATAGGCAGAATTAATGGATATTAATTGCATAAATGTTGTTTTGTATAAGTTTGATACGTTTTGTACGAAAACAAATGCCTATTTGTTATGATTGATTAATGAGAACATTCATTTATATTGTTATCTGATTAAAGATAGTTTCATACAGTTCGAAAATTGTATAAAGCATTTAATTTGCCTAATATGGTCAAAATTGGTGTATTTCATAATTTAATTTTTTCTGATAGCCGAGAGCCGTGCAAAAGTTAGTTGTTCAAATAGTGTGAGTTCATAGACGCACGCCAAGCCACGCCCTTAGGAGGCCGAATATGTAAAATTTAAAATGTTTGTAATTCAGTGATTTATGTAAAAATTACTTGTAAAATATTTCAGGTTAATTGTACGTGCTAAAAAGGTAAATTCTGTGTTATTTTCATGTGAAAATTCCTGTGTATAAGTGAAATAATGATAGTTTTGTATAAGAAATTTAAATGTGTTTTAAATAGTGAAATAAATAGAAAAAATGTAAATTAAACTATTGTATTGGTTAGCTTATGTATAAATTCAAGTGAGAAACATTGTTTTAACTTTCTGTGTTAAATATTTAAGAAATTTCGATTTCGAACTTGTGAGTAAAATAGGCGGTTTTCGTTTAATAAATAAAAGGTTTTTTATGATATGAGGATATGATGTATATCATGGTGTAGATATTGTTTTGTACTACCTATATTGATAAATTGTATTTGTATATGATTTGAACAAATAAAGATATTGAGTGAAACGTGAGA